CCAGATAAGAGTGTCAGATAAAAACAGCTTATCTTACTGACATTGTTAAGGGATTGGGATGGCCAAGGAGGCAGTTAATATCCAAGATGGAGATTGTGTCCAAGATGGCTGCAGTTTTGTCAGACTGAATCCCTTCACCAAGTGTGGAGGGTACACTGGAGTGTAGGGGACTGCTGCAGTAGTCCGTGAAAAATGTGGACTGCCCTAAAACTGCCAGCGTCAGTGGGAAACAGAACAGACTCGAGATACCCAGGTGACTGTACCTGGTGAGAGGTGCTTGTACGTGGAGCTTAAAGGAGGGGTAAGTCCAAGATTCTAGAATGAGCCTGAAATGACTTATGTAGGGGCCAGCACTGTGGTGTAGCGGGTACAGCTGCCACCTGCAGTGCCAACATCCCATATGAACATCAGTTCGAGTCCCAGCTGCTCCACTTCCAATCCAGCTCCCTGCTACTGTGCCTGGGAAAGCAGCAGAGGATGGCCCAAGTCCTTGGGTTCCTGTAGTCATGTGGGAGGCCCAGAGGAAGTTCCTTGCTCCTGACTTCGGATCGGTGCAGCTCCAGCCGTTGCAGCCATCTGGGGAGTAAGCCAGTGGAAGGAAGACCTCCCTCCTTCCCAACCCCATAACTCTGATAAGATTTATTTATTTGAAAATCGGAGTTACACAGAGAGAGAAGGAGAGGCAGAGAGAGAGAGAGAGAGAGAGAGAGAAAGGTCTTCCATCCACTGCTTCACTCCCCAATTGGCCGCAATGGCCCGAGCTGCACTGACCTGAAGCCAGGAGCCAGGAGCTTCTGGGTTTCCCATGCAGGTGCAGGGGCCCAAGGACTTGGGCCATCTCCCACTGCTTTCCCAGGCCATAGCAGAGAGTGGGATCAGAAGTGGAACAGCTGGGACTCGAACTGGCACCCATGTGGGATGCTGGCACTGCAGGTGGCCCCTTTAGCCGCTATACCACAGAGCTGGCCCCAATAAATAAATTAAAAAAAAAAAAACTCATTTAAAAGTTTCACCTCTTGGCAAAAGCTAATGTAAATTCATTTACTTAAACATGACCAACAAGGTTCGCTTTGCTATCATACACAGTTGGGTTTGAGTCTTACCTATGCTGCTTTAAGCCAGGGTATTTCAAAAAGTTCACGGGAGGGGCAGATATTTTAGCCTAGTGGTTACAGTGCCTGTGTACTATGTGGAGTGCCTGGGTTCAATTCCCAGCTCCGGCTCCCGACTCCAGCTCTCTGCTAATGCAGACCCTGGGAAGCAGCAATGATGGCTCAAGCAGCTGGGCTCCCACTACCCGTGTGGGAGACCTGGGTTGAGCTAGTGGGTCCCAGTTGGGCCTATTTTTTGGTAGGAGTGAACCAGCAGATGGGTGATCTCTCTCTCGGTCTCGCTCCCTCTCTTTCTTTCCCTCCCTTTCAAATATATGTTTATTTTGGTGCAAAAAAATGTTTTTGAAATACATGCAGCTTTTTCATGATACATATTTATCATGAACTTTTTGAAGACCCTTGGTAAAAGCATAACCTCCCAGAGCGTCAGCTTTCTCACCTATAAAATAGGAGCTAATTCGCCTCATGGGATCAAGTGGCAATTAAGTGAGAAGGCCTGGGAGAATGCCTGACACCTGGAAAGAGTTCAGTACTAGTGGCTTAATGATTCACTTGTTCCTTATTCGTTCAGCGCCTTCAACCTGGGCAGATGAGGGAAGCATGGCCACTGCCCCTATTCCCCGTCTCCTCCATCCTTCTATTCTGATTGGAGCCAGCTTGGCGGGGCAGAAGTTCTGCTCCCCCTAGTCCAGGAATTCTCTCTGTAAAAGGTGCATTGTGTGTTCTTTACTTGGCAAGAGCACCTTTTGGCAACTTCTTCCTAAGTCACGTAGGAACTGGTGAGGGAAGTAGGAACCTGAACTTGGGTTGTATTCCTCTGGGCTCACTGGTTATACCAACGATTAACAGTGACAGATTAAAAGAGTTCAAGACCGCAGTTACTGTGCTGACAGAAATGCACAGTAACAAATAGACCATTGGGACCTGCACTGCAGGTGGCCGCTTTAGCCGCTATACCACAGAGCTGGCCCCAATAAATAAATCTTTAAAAAAAAAAAAGGCACTAATCACTTAGTGAGGGTTGAGCCTCCACCTGCAGTGCCAGCATCCCATGTGGGCTCTGGTACAAGACCCCGCTGTTCCACTTCTGATCCAGCTCCCTGCTAATGCACCTGGGAAAAGCAGTGAAAGGTGGCCCAAGTCCTTGAGCCCCTGCACCCATGTGGGAGACTTGGAAGAAGCTCCTGCCTCCTGGGTTTAGCCTGGCCCAGCCCTGGCTGTTGTGGCCATATGGGGAGTGAACTATCGGATGGAAAAGCTTTCTCCTTTTTCTGTCTCTGCTTTTCAAATAAATAAATCTTTTTTACAAAAAGGATCATCCCACATCCCTGCTTATTTTACAATGTGCCAGGTGTTTATAAAAAGAAAAAAAACTACTAAGTACCTTCAGGTGACCTTTACTTATTTTCAGGCTGTTCCCTGTAGAGCATGAGTGAGGCTGTGGAAACCCAGGTGCTGGCCATTTGACTGTCTCCAACACTTCAGCTGGCGCTGGGTGCTTGCATGGTTGGAAATGCAAAATGTGCACGTGCTCCTAGCGGGACCGAGCTCTCAGGGCCACCTCTCCTCCAGTTTCCTGTTTAGGTGATCTCTGAGTCTCCTAGCCACATTTCCTTACTGCCATGTGTTCCTTCAGCAGCCATCAACCCAGACAAGGACGTCAGTCCCCTCCACCTTTGAATTTCCCAAGCTAACTGCTGGCCCAGCCTGCACCTATTCATGCAGCACCTCTGCCTGCGGTGTGGAAATGAAAGTATGCAAATAAGTTTTTTTTCCTTAAGAAAGAAAAAAAGTGATTAGACACGACCAGGCCACGGGGGCTGCCTTCCTGCAATGTAACCGGTGCGGTCCCACAGGGCCCTCTGCTCAAAAGGGTCTTGCACTTGGAATTTTGTGCTCTGTGGTCACTGTCTTGAAATTTTTAATGATGTTCTCTTTTATAAAATTTATTTTTTTATTTTTGTGTATTTGAAAGACACAGAGAGAGGAACAGAGAGGGATTTTCCATCTGCTGGTTTATTTATCAAATGCCTACAACAGCCAGGGCTGAGCCAGGCAGAAGCCAGGAGGTGGAACTTGACCCCAGCCTTCCCCGTGGGTGGCAGGCACACAAATTCTTGAGCCATCACTTGCTGCCTTCCAGGGTGTGTAGTAGCAGGAAGCTGGACTCAGAAGCAGAGCAGGGACTTGAACCCTGGCAGTCTGGTATGGAATGCAGGCACCCCAAGCAACTTCTTAACCACTGCACCTCATGCCCACCCCAGTAATGCTCTCTTTTATAAGTGAAATCTGATGGGTCCGTGGAGCATGCACAAGGGCCTTGGGGCCTTGACTCAGACTCAGTACTGCTTCTTCTCAACTCCCGGCTTTCCTAGGCCAGGTTCTCAGCTGTCCTCAGTGCCCCCCGCCCACACCCCACCAGGTCGACCACAGGTTGGGGTAGCCTGCAGTTGGGAAGAGGAAATGCCTGGTTGGGCCTCCTTGCTGTAGGCTTGGGCAAGGCTGATGGGAGCAGGAACCTGCAGCCAGTGGGGTGCACATGCACTCGCTACAGAGTCACAGCATAGCCCACCCTGCATCACCCCCCAGCCCCGGGATCTGCACTGGGGGTTTCCTTCTGCCCCAGAGTGCTAGACATTAAGTTGCAAGGGAAACCTAGCATGACACATCAGGAGACAGAATGCAGTGGAAAGAGAAGAACTTCGTATTCTAGGACCTCTGCAGCACTCTGGCCATGTTTTGAACCTTTTCATTTTCATTCTGTGCCGAGCTCCAGAAATTCTGCCCTGTTCAGCCGTCAGCATCCTGCCGTGGCCCCTCTGCCGAGGGACTTTCTCACTGGCCAGCTTCCCCCAGCAGGTTGCTCTGATTCTTCTCAAGCTTCCGAAGACCCTTCTGAGTTTCCTCTTTTCCTGTCTTCATCTCTCAGCCCTTCTTCCTAGAACAGCCCCAAACGCCACAAGACCCTGCAGAATTCCATGGCACTCTCCCTGCTTCCAGTCTCCAGCTTCCTGGAGCCTAGCTTTTCATAACCAAATGACCCACTAAGGTGTTTTGTGGCAAGAAGCAGCTCTCTCCCTGAAAGAAATTCTGCCTCCGGTTTTTTTCAGTAACAGGAGTGTTTATCCCCTGTATATTGAAATCACCAATTACTTTTCAGCAGCCTTTGCCAAGAAGCCAAGTTCTCTGGAAGATTCCTCCTGTCAAAGAGCCCATTAAAAAACGATTAAGGGAGGGGCCGGCACTGTGTGTAGTAGGCTAAGCCGCAGTGCTGGCAGCCCGTGTGGGTACCAGTTGGAGTTCCAGCTGCTCCACTTCCAATCCAGCTCCCATCCAGCTCTTCCAATCCAGATGGCCCAAGTGCTTGGGCCCCTGTACCCACATGCGAGACCTGGAAGAAGCTCCTGGTTTCCACCTGGGCCCAGCCCTGGCCATTGCAGCCATTTGGGGAGTGAACCAGGGAATGGAAGATTCTCTCTCTCTCTCTCTCTGTCTCTCTCTCTCCTTTCTCTAAATCTCTGCTTTCAAATAAGTAAATAATTAAAAAATATATATGTATGTGTTTGTGAGGGTACCTCGTAAAGTTTGTAGAAAAGCAAAATTAAAAGATACATTTATTTTGGTAAAAAAAATTTTGTGAAATACATGTAGCTTTTCACAATACACATTTTTCATAAAGAACATTTTTGAAGGACCCTGACTTTTTTTTTTAAATCAAAATGACTTAGAATTAGTATTCTGAGAATTTCACTGTGAAGGTTATTCCCTAGGACAGCTGGAGATAGCCTTGGAGTTGCAGAATCCCAGTTTGGAATCCCATTGTGTGACAAGTGTGTTCCGTTCTGAAGCCTGTTTATGTTTTGTCTCTCTGTTCTAATTCTCCCACAGCGGGTATGCGATGGGAATAGCATCAAAGGGAGAGGAAATTACAGGGCAGCATCTGTGGGCAGTGGTGGAGAAGGAAGATGCGGGCGATTGCTTTAGTCTTCACGTTTGGAGTTCTGTCTGCTCTGGAAACAGAGTAGAAGAAATTCACCTGCGAGTCTGACAAATTCCATCCATTCCTGAAAGACAAGGAACAAAGTCTTCTCTCCCGAGGGAGGGACATCAAGGAAGCCATTCTGTGACAACAGGAACAAAGTCTTAAGCAAGTAGTGTCTCCTCAATGACCTTGTAAAGAAAGTGGGGGAACCCACCCCCACTCAGGAGTCTTGAAAGCCAGTTTCTGGGGGACTGAGAATCAGGGAGGGGGCAGGCTGGGGACAGGCACAGGTCCTCAGGCTACTCTCAGCATGTGTCTTGGCTGATCTGTGGGAAGAAAGAGGGACGGTCATGAGAGCAATACTCCAGAGGGAAGGCCCTTCCCTTGCCCACGGCTAGCAGCTCCCTGGAGACCTCAGGGTTCACTTACGGAAGGCAGAATTCATCACAGTCTCAATTCATCACAGTCTCTGACTCACTCTCCGAGTGACCACACCTGCAGCACAGCCAGAGGCTCTTGGCAACGTGTTGAAGAGCACACACTGACATCTTGGCTGTGTCATAGACCTGCTGGGTGAACTTGAATTTCCTCCTCAAGTTCTCCCCCCGCCATCATCATCATCAGAAGCTCACAAACACTTCCAGTGACTGGGAACGGGACTGAAGTGCCATTGCGCTGAAATCCTCTCTTCACCTGCAAGCCGGGAGACCTCAGCACTTTGCCTGGCACGACCCCCCACGTTCCGTTTCCTCATCTGTACGCCCTTGGTAGACTCTAGGGATTCTTGGGAAGATTGAGAAATGCCCAAGACCCTCCTAGCCCTACCTCAGCGGGTGGGGAGGGAGCTAGGTGTAGCCTGTGTGGGAGTGGCTGTAGGGATCATGGCAGAGCACTTTCTTTTAAAGAAAAGAAAAAGAAAATGAAGAAAAAAATTTCATTTAAAGAAAAAAAGATCGTTTTTTTTTTCCTTTTTTAAGATTTATTTATTTGAAAGAATTACACAGAGAAGGAGAGACAGAAAGAGAGAGAGGTCTTCCTTCCACTGATTCACTCCCCAGTTGGCTGCAACGGCCGGAGCTGTGCCGATCCAAAGCCAGGAGCCAAGAGCTTCTTCCAGGTCTCCCACGTGGGTGCAGGGCCCAAGGTCTTGGGCCATCCTCTACTGCTTTCCCAGGCCACAGCAGAGAGCTACATCAGAAGTAGAGCAGCCAGGACTCCAACCAGCTCCTTAATGGGATGCCAGCACGGCAGGTGCAGGCTTAGCCTACTACACCACAGCATCAGCCTCAGAGAATATTCACCTGCAGTGGTGATGCACTGATGACAAGGACGAGGCAAAGTAAACAGGCAGTGATGGGGGTTGGTGCTCACTGAGAGCGCAGGAGGCTCCAGGCACTGCCCCTTGCATGTGGTGTTGTTACAGGAGAAGCAAGGGTTCTTGTCTTTGAGCAAGAAAAGAATTCAGGTGTGAGACAGAGAGTAGTGGAAAGCAAAATAGCAATGTAGGGACATCTGTAAGAACGGATGGGCACCTCTCCAGACAGAACCTGAGAGAGAGTGCCCAGTCACTCAGACTGGGGGAGAGCGAGATTACATGGTTGAGTAGAGAGAGTACACCTGGGCAGGCCAGGCAGGTGACTCAGCACAGAGGCAGAGGGCTGAGCACGCAGTCTGGTTGAGACTGGGGGTTTTTAAGGGGATGGGTCTTGCCTTCCCTCCTCTTCTCCTCCTGAAACAAAGGACTTTTTGGATGTAAATATGAAAAATTCCTTTCTGAGTTTCCCCCCTGAAGTTGTCAGACGGGGAAGCCTGGCTGGCATGAAGGATGGTTATCAGCTAGAAGGAGCAGCATGTTTGAAGTGCAGATACTGGGCTGCACCTGGAAGGTTATCATGATGACTTTGAGATGCAGATGCTGGACCTGGATGTCAATGCCTGAGGCCTTTGTCACACGCACACAGAAGCTCATTTCTGACTTCCTACCTAACAGTATTACAGACAAAGAACAGCCATTAGAGGTGTGGTACTATTAGCTCCATTTTGCAGTTTCAGTAAACAGGCTTAAAGAGATCAGGGAAGTTTTTCAAGGCCCCAGAGCTAGACAGGGAGAGAGCCAATTTTCCAGCTCAGATTCAGTGGATGTAAAGTATGTTCATGTAAACGTTGTACAGCTGAGGATGAAAATGCCAGGAGGTACAAAGTTAATACTTAATGAGTTTTCTTTTTTTAAAAAAATTTTTTTTACAGGCAGAGTTAGAGACAGAGAGAAAGGTCTTCCTTCCTTTGGTTCACCCACCCAAATGGCCGCTATGGCCGGCGCTGCACTGATCCGAAGGCAGGAGCCAGGTGCTTCCTTCTGGTCTCCCATGCAGGTGCAGGGCCCAAGCACTTGGGCCATCCTCCACTGCCTTCCCGGGCTACAGCAGAGAGCTGAACTGGAAGAGGAGCAACTGGGACAGAATCCAGCGTCCCATCCAGGACTAGAACCCAGGATGCTGGCACCACAGGCGGAGGATTAGTCTAGTGAGCTGTGATGCCGGCCATCTTTTTTTAATTTTTACACATTTCTTTGAAGGTAGAGAGACACAGAGAGAATCAGAGATCTCCTATTCACTGGTTCACTTCCCAAATGCCTGTAACAGCCAGAACTGAGCCAGGTCTAAGCCAGGAGCCAGGAGCCAGGAATCCAATCTAGGCCTTCCACCTGGGTGAGAGGACCCAATCACTTGGGCTGCCTCCTGCAGGAAGCTGGAAGCAGGAGCCGAAGCAGGACTCAGTCCCAGGCACCCCAATAATGGATGTGGGCATCCCAAGTGGTGCCTTACCACTAGGCCAAGCATCCGGCCCCGAGTATGGAGTCTGTCTTTGGGGTGATGGAAATAGTGATGGGGTCTCAACATTGTAGATACACACAGGTACTCCAGAGCGTTGGTGGGAAATGAAATTAAAAGGGAAATTTATTTTGGTGCAAAAAAATTTGCAATTCAAGGGGTCTTCCGAAAGTTCATGAAAATGCAATTATGAGAAAACTATACAGGGATTTCAAAAAACTATTTGCACCAAAAGTTATCTTTTTTAATTCTTTTTGAAGTACCCCCATACTTAATGCCACTGAATCATTCACCTAAAATGATTAAAATCATAAATTTATATATACATACATCTGCAAACACAATCACTGCTAGGAGAAAGGTGAAAAGGGCATTAATGGGGGCTGGCACTGTGGCACAGCCTGCGGCACCAGCATCCCATATGGGCACCGGTTCTAGTCCTGCCTGCTCTGCTTCCCATCCAGCTCTCGGCTATGGCCTGGGAAAACAGTAGAGGATGGCCCGAGTCCTTGGGCCCCTGCACCCATGTGGGAGACCCGGAAGAAGCTCCTGGCTCCTTGCTTCGGATCAGCCCAGCTCTGGCCATTGTGGCCATTTGGGGAGTGAACCAGTGGGTGGAAGACCTAACTCTCTCTCTCTCTTTCTCTCTCTCTCTCTCTCACTGCCTATAATTCTGCCTCTCAAATAAAAAATGATAGATAAAATCTTAAAAAGGTGTGGGGGGGATTAGTGATTAGAATGGATGTTTTGTCCCTGCCTTGCAGAGATGGTTTGCAGGACTCAGGGCAGTGAGAACTTGAGTCTACCCCTTACAGAAGGCATTTTGCACTCTCTAAAGCCCACAGGCTCAGACATGCCCCTCTCGGGAGCCAGTCCTCAAGCTTTAGAGAAAACGAATTTTAAAAGCTGGAGAGCTCCCCAGGGCGAACACCTCCCTACCTGCTAAATTAAGAAAATCAATACAATACGGGCTGTGTTTGTTGGACAATATTTCTTTCCTGTATAATTAAGACTGAGAAGACAAAATGTCCTTGCCCAGTATTGGGTAAAGTTAAATAAATGTGGGAAAGAGCCAGGCAAATAGAAGAGGCGACACCTCTGTAAATCCCACAAGACAGATTTACGATAAGCAGGTTATTTCCAGTCATAAAGCAGTCCATAAAACAAAAGCACAGGGGGAGTGCTGGTTCCCTGTGCTGAGGAGCCTGTGGGATACCTAGGAAAGGTCAGAAAGTCTCCAGCAGGGCAGGACGGGGCCTTCTTGTTCTCTTTCCAAAGTAGCAGAGGAGTCATAAACAGCTATGGGAGGCAGCTGGGCAGGGGGCAGGGACTGTGATGTCGCAGGATGTCTTGCTTGTGTGAAACTATCTGAAGACAACAGCCTGGCAGGCCCAGACATGAGCAACAGCATTTCCCGGTCTCCATTCCGTATGAGGCATCTGACTGGATCCCATCAAAGCTAGGAATGGCCATTTTTCCACTGGTGTAGTTGACTCAAAGTCAATGCGTTGGACATGAGCAGTTGCTAGGAGCCCGAGAACTGATAAGAAATCTGAGCAGCTGGCCGGCGCCGCGGCTTACTAGGCTAATCCTCCACCTGTGACGCCGGCACACCAGGTTCTAGACCCGGTCGGGGCGCCGGATTCTGTCCTGGTTGCCCCTCTTCCAGGCCAGCTCTCTGCTGTGGCCCGGGAGTGCAGTGAAGGATGGCCCAGGTGCTTGGGCCCTGCACCCTATGGGAGACCAGAAGTACCTGGCTCCTGCCATCGGATCAGTGCGATGCGCCGGCTGCAGCGCACCTGCCGCGGTGGCCATTGGAGGGTGAACTGTCGCTCCCCGTCTTCGTGGAGGAACGACACAGGACCCTGCGCTGTTCTTTTGTCTGCTCGGCCCTCCCCCGGTTTGCTGCAGATTCTTCCCGGGTTGGCTACCGTCCCTTCCACCTCCGTGGAAGGGCGGTTCCCCCTGCCACTTTCCCCACTTCCGCAGGGGAGCAGCACACCGCCGGCCAGCTCTCTCGGGGGCTGCACAGGTGTTCCTTCAGATAGATGTTCCCCTTAGATGTTCCTGGTGCATGTTGTGTCTCTCCTCCTTTATAGTCCTCTTCCACCAATCCCAACTCTGCTACCCACACACTGAGTACGCTGCTCTCCTCCAATCAGGAGCAGGTCCTACAGTTTATTGGTTGAACTGGAGGCAGCTGTGTAGAAGCTGTTTCCTCCTCTCCCAGCGCCATATTGTGGGAGAGCAGATGCATAGAATAAGTCTTAATTCCAG